TGTCAACATCATTCCTAATTCTTGCTTTTTTTTAAACTTCCTTCACAGGGCAGCTTCTCACAGACTGAAGCTGGTAAAGGTATGTCTGAAGCGGCCTCAAAGCACCCATTTCATAAGTCCTCATGAATGCTGTTCGATAGTCATAAGATTGTCCTCAGGCCCTCCGTGTGGTTGTCTTTTGAGAGGTCTCCAGGGTACTGGTCAGGGTGGGTTGTGGTGTCTGGGGCTCAAAGTCCCACCGGTGGACTTCTGCTCCTACACTGATCAAAACAGAACTGAGCTTCTCTAGGTCCCTAAGTACCTTCGTGAACTTAATAATCTAATTGCCAAATGGAGGTGAAGGCATTTTTATTTGCTTTCTCTGAGGGCTGGGGGATGGGTTGAGAGAGCTTTGTTGTTGTTGCTGTTGTTTTTGAGATTCTGTTGCCCAGGCTGGAGTACAGTGGCGCGATCTCCACTTACTGCAACCTCGGCCTCCCAGGCTCAAGTGATTCTCCTGCCTCAGCCTCCAGAGTAGCTGGGATTACAGGCGCCAACCACCACGCCCGGCTAATTTTGTATTTTTTAGTAGAGACAGGGTTTCACCATGTTGGCCAGGCTGGGCTCGAACTTGTGACCTCAGGTGATCCACCCACCTCGGCCTCCCAAAGTGCTGGGATTATAGGCGTGAGCCACCTCACCTGGCTGACATTTTTATTTGCTTTCTCTGAGGGCTGGGGGATGGGTTGAGAGGGTATTATTAAGGTGCAAAATGGTCACTCCTTTTAAAATAAGCACCTTTTTAGTTTCTAGTGGTTATAGGCTAAAGACAGAGAATGTCTGCTCTTAAAAGTCATTCAAGGCTGGGTGCAGTGGTTCACGCCTGTAATCCCAACACTTTGGGAGGCTGAGACCGGGAGTTGAAGACCAAGGTCTCAACTTCATGAGACCCTGTCTCTACAAAAAAATTTAAAATTCACCGGATGTGGTGGTACTTGCCTGCAATTCCAGCTACTCAGGAGGCTGAGGCGAGAGGATTGCTCGAGACTGGGAGTTTGAGGCTGCAGTAAGCTAGGATTGTGCCACCACACTGCAGCCTGAACGACAGAGTGAGGAGACCCTGACTCAAAAAAAGAAGAAAAAGTCATTGAAACCCTGGCTTCAGCCCATGTAAGGCTTTGTAGAGTAGCATGGTGGCCACACTTGCTCGCCTCACTCCCTGCTGCATGACTCTGGCTTGTTGGGACAGCCCCTGTGTTTCCAGGCATGCAGAAGATGGCAGGCTTTCCACTTAGCCATATCTGCCTCAGAACTGGCTGAGCAAGCTGCCTGTTTATCCTCTTCCACCCTCTGGTTAGGTAATCTCTGCTGCAGGTGACCGGCTGTTGACCACAGGGACTTGGTCTCTCCTCCCACATGCTGGCTCCCATCTCGGAGTTCTTTCCTGGTCAAACAATATTAGTGGGGCCCAGAATCCTGGCAGTACCAGTATCTCCAGTGCTTTCTTCATCCTCCCTCCCCTGTGCAGACAGGAAGCTCCTCTCCTGTCCCCTCCCCTCATCCCCTTGTGGAGCAGCAGGGGGCTGGGTGCAGCGTTACCCAGGAGGACCATGTTTATTCATTTTTAGTTTTGCTTTCCCCTCTGCACCCTGCCCTTTGCATTCCCCACATGGAACGCGGTAAAGCTGATGCACATGAGAATGTGCGTGCTTTTCCCCTCCCACTCAGAGCTGTCTCAGTGTTCCCAGAAAGGAGAAGAGCTGTGGGTGTGAAATGCAGACAGGTGATCCTTGTGGTAGTTAGGATGGGTGGGGGAGGAGAACGGCTGGTATGGCAGGACTTTGCCCTCAGGCAGATTGTGGGTAGCAAATGCCACTGTCATCATTCCCCAACAGGACCAAACTTCCTTAGCCCTTCCTTCCCTCCTCTGGAGAGGAGATTTTTAAAAAAATAATAAATTTTCATTATTAAATTTTCATTCATTCATGTATTCATCATGGCAACAGACTAATACAGCTGTTTTCATTTATTTGCATTCCCACCTAGTTTTTATTTCTCTTTATAAAAAGCTTTTGTTACTATGATTGTATCTATATGCACTTTTATGTTGTGCTCTTTTACTTCAAACTATTTTGTAGACATTCTTCCGTGTTTTCACAGTCATGATAGTTATCCAGTTTAAAGGCTATATCATTCTCAGTTATATTTATAAGCAATTGTTTACTTAACTATTCCACTGCTGTTGAATATAAGGTTTTTTTCTCCCTGCACTTGTTTTAACTAGTATTGTTTCAGAAAACTCTAAGCACCTAGCTTTTTCTTCTTTCGCGTCTTTTTCTAGAGATGAATTCTTAGGAGTAGGGTGTGCTGCTGGTATTGTTCTTGGGTTGTGTTGCCTAGTGGTCCTTCAACACGTGCTGCAACACACATGGGTATTCCCATTTTCCTGGATGCTTAGCTGCCGTGTGCCTTGGCTAACTTTTTTGGAGGGAATGTAACAGATATGTAAAAGCTACATTTAGCTCCTCATTATTAGTTCAATTTGTGTTTACAAGTTCCTAATGAGGTTTTGCCACCGGATCTAAGATGCAGTAGGAGAAGCACAGTATTTGGACAGAGGAAGACCCAGGAGTGAATCTTGCTTCTAATTCTAGCGAATTGGACGATCTTAAATAAGTTACTTAAACTCCACAAGACGCAGTTTATCTGTAAAATGGGGATAATGTCTACTTTACAGTACAGTTGTGAGGATTAAATAAAGTTTCAAAAGTGTCGACACAGTAAAATTTTGTCCTTTTTTATCTCTCTTTTCTTTATCTATCATCGTATTTCTTCTTATTTATTTGTTTATTGTTTTTTGAGATGGAGTCTCTGTCGCCCAGGCTGGCATGCAGTGGTGCGATCTTGGTTGCTCACTGCAACCTTAGCCTCCTAGGTTCAAGTGATTCTCCTGCCTCAGCCTCCCTGGTAGCTGGGATTACAGGCCTGCACCACCACACCCAACAATCATTGTATTT